GGAGCAGGCGTTTGGTGAAATCTGTGTGGACAGGACCAGAGGCCTCTCTGAGTCCCTTGTTGCTGGACCCGAGAGGCTGGGACTGGCGTCTGTCTGACATTTTCCTGACAGCGCATGGGATCTAGTAGGGGCTTTGGCAGCTGCATTCTTTGTTTTAAGTAACAGCTTTATTGAGATATAATTCACACACACCATAAAATTTCCATTTTAAGATAAGCTAAATGGGTTATATTCATACAATGGAATATTATCTGGCCCTAAAAGGGAAGAAAATTCTGACACCTGCTACAGCATGGAGAAACATGGAGGACGTGAGGCTCAGTGAAATAAGCCAGACACAAAAAGACAGATACTGTACGATTCCACTTCTGTGAGGTCGCCAGAGGCGTCAAATGCACAGAGACAGAGAGTAGAAGGGTGGATGCCGGGGGCTGAGGAGGGCAATGGGGGGTGTTGTTTATCGGGACAGAGCTTCAGTTTTGTAAGATGCAAAAGTTATGGGGATAAATGGTGGCGATGGTTGCACAACAACGTGCATGTGGTTAATGCCACCGACCTGTAAACTTAACATGGTTAAGATGGTAAATGTTATGTGTATTTTCTAACAGCAAAACAGAAAGGCTAGGACAACACAAAAAACTCACTGTTTTAATGTTTACAGTTCAGTGGCATTTGGCATATTCACGATGTCATGTGACCATCACATCCATCTACTTCCAGAACACTCTGTGTCAGCCCCACAAGATAGCCCCGTTGCACTCCCTCCCCTCCCCCAGCCCCAGGAAGCACCAGTCTGCCCCGTCGCTGTGGATTTGCCTGTCCTGGGTGCTTCCTGTAAAAGTCACACGTGTGGCCTCCTGGCCCTGACTTCTTTCATCGTGTTTTTGGGGCCCGTCCACCTGCAGCCTGGGTCAGGACTTCGTTCCGTTTCCTGTGAGGCAGGGGTGGCCAGATTGGACAAGCTTTGGGAAGGGAAGTGGCCCCGGGCGGGAGCAAAGGCACTGGCTTGTCACTAGGGAGCACGCCTGCCTTCCCCTCCCATCTCCCCCAGTGAAGTGATCCTGAGATACTTGGAAGCGACTTTCCACGTGGTTCCCGGAACCTCCCCTGCACAGACTGCCGGGGCCACCAGCTCCGACAGGGTGTGGGGGAGCTTCAGGGGCGCTTCCCCAGAGTGATGGCGGCTGCCCTGGCTCTTTCCCCTCCTCCAGGTCCTGACTCTGGCCGCCCAGGAGCTGTCTCGGCCTGGGCGCCTTGGGAGGGCGCCCCAGCGTGGCTCCCCTGGTCCTGCCTCCCAGCCCAGCAGTGCTGTGGCTCCCGCCTGGCGCGCGGTCGTGGAGGAGCGGATCAGAAGCAAGACTCGGCGGTTCTCGAAGGTCAGCCAGGACCAGGGTCGGGTCTTTGTGGGTGGGGGCTTTGGGCAGGCTGGCCGAGTGGCCGGCTACTTCTAGGTGCTGTGTGCACTGAGGGGCAGTGTCAAGGCTGGTGTTCTGTGAAGAGAGAGCTTTCCGTACAAACCTAATGAATGATGGGGCCCTCAGACTGGAGTAGTTTAAGCTGTGAGTGCAGACATGGTCATGAGAAAAGCCCGAGAATTCTGCGTCAGCAACAATGACCTGAGGTGTGCTGTCGCTGGGGTCCATCTGGGCTGCGCTGCTCTTGCCCCCGGGACGTTTGGCCTTGGTTGTCACTGGGGGTTGGGTGCTGCCGGCATCCGGTGGGTGGGGCCCGGAAGACCGCTCCTCCCATGATGCATGGGACTGCCCCTCACGAGAAGCCTGCAGCCTGAGTGTCCAGTGTGAGGTTGCATGGGGAGGGCCGCGCTCCACACCTGGTGGCGCCCCGTGACCACCGCCTGTTTGGCAGGGCTCTGCAGGGCGGGGACCGGCCGCTGGCCCCAATGAATTCAACTCAGTTGCTGGCTACTTCTTCTTCCCCCTCATTCAACATTTTGACAGGTGGGTGGCTGGCCTGTGCTTTGGGGAACAGGGCTCTGGACACCCCGACAGACAAAAGGCTTCCAGGGTAGGGACTGTGGGGCTCAGGGCAACAGTGGGGTCACAACTTTGGCTTAGTTGTTTGTAGCTTAAATTAAATGACGTGGTGAGGGCCCTAAGCGTCATGGTCCCTGTCAGATGTTGGGTTCATGGTAGGGCCCCAACGTGCCTGGCTCTGCCTGCTCTCACTTGCCGCCTCGTCCCATCTCAGCCCGAGCAGGCTATGGACGTTGCCGCAGCACCAGTGCAGGGGAGGGGAGTGTGGCGATGGTGGGGCCTGGAGCCTGGGCCCTTCCCTGTGGAGCAGGGCTGAGGCTGCGCCTTTGCTGCATGTGGCCTTGGAGGCGGCAGCCCTGCTCCCGTGAGAGCTGCTGGCCCCCCAACCCAAGTCCAGGCTGGTGCCCACAGCCCTGCAGAGCAACTGGGGCATCTGTCCAATGCCTTCTCCTTAGAGCTCTGGGCACCACGTGGGGACAGGCGGGGGGAGGAGTGTCCAGGACCTAGGGTGTCGCTGGGTCCCAGGAGGTAGGGGAGCCAGCCCTGAGTGCCTGACCTGCACCATTCACTGGATTCTGTGTTGTAGGCCTCTGGTGACCTTTGACCTTTTGGGAGATGACCAGTTGGTTCTGGGGAGACTGGCCCACACCTTGGGGGCCCTGATGTACCTGGCTGTGAATACCACGGTGAGCTGGGAGACAGCAGCTGATGGCCCCACCTTGCGTGCAGTGTGTGCCTGCGGTCCTTTCTCCCCGTGAGCCTCACCTCGGTCCTGGGGACAGGAGTGTTTGGACCTGAAGATGGCATCTGAGGTGGGGACTGCTGGGTGCCAGGATCCTTGCCCACCAGCCTCTGCTATTTCAGGTGGCTGTGCCCATGGGCAAGGCCCTGCTGGAGTTCGTGTGGGCCCTTCGCTTCCATGGAGACGCGTGAGTGGCTGCGGGGCTGAGGGCAGGGGTCCCACATGGATGCAGCACAGGGGGTGGCTCTGAATCCTGCTGGAAAGTGAACAGCAGGAGCTGGCAGTGGCCCCAGGGCTGGCTGAGAGGCAGCTTGCCTGCAGTTCCTAAGCAGGAAGGAAGGGGGCTGAGCAGGGCCGAGGGGCTTTTGTTGCCGGGGGTCTGTTGTACTGGGGGGAGAAGTGGGGTCTCCCTGGTCTGGGGCGGGTGTGTGCTGGACTGGGGCCCCGTTTGGGCTCAGGCCTCCCGCCTTGCTCGGCAGCTACGTGCGCCGGGGCTTGCTGTCCGCCGTCTCCTCCGTCCTCCTCAGCGTTCCGGCTGAGAGACTCCTGGCGGACCTGCCGGACGAGCTGCTGGAAGCCCGGGCCTGGCTGGCGGGTGAGCGCTGGGCCGTGGTGGGAGGCAGGCAGGCAGGAGGCAGGTGTAGTCCCAGCAGCCATGAGGGCCTGTGGAGCCGTGCGGAGGCCCCGGAGCTGAGCAAGACCCAGTCCAAGGGCCAGCGTTTGTCGTGTCCCCAGTGTGGGGGTGGGGGGACAGCCATCAGAGGGCACTGGAGTCCTACAGGGGCACCTCAGAGAAGGCACCCTGTCATGAGAGATGGCGTCTGTTTATTCTGGAAAATTCCAAATCTTTGGAAGGGTTACAAGGTGAGCACCATGGACCCTCGCCAGATTCACCAAATATTAGCATTTTGCCACATTTTGCCCCTGACCACGTTCTTTTCATAAAATGTGTTGCGGCCAGTGTGGCCTCCCACCTTTGGTACTTGAGCTGGCCCCCAGAGCGAGCACACCCCTTCCACCTTGGGCTCACAGCTGGGACTGGACTATCTGTGGCCACTCAAAGGCCCAGTGGTTCCCATGGTGGCCTTTTTCCTTCCTTTCTGCCGGATCCCAGGTCCGGGTGAGGCTACTCCACAACCTTGAGCTCCCCAGGCTCCCTTAGTCCAGCTCGTCCCCATGTCTTTGGTTGTGTGGGTCCCCCTCAGCGTGGGCTTCTCTGGTCATGTCTAGTTAGGTGTGTCAGGATGGCTCTGGGCTGGGACAGGTCCTCTTCAGGGCCTCGTGCTCCAGGTGTGTGGCATCCAGTGTCCCAGGATGGGTTCTGAGGTCTTGGGAAGCAGGCACCATCCCAGGGCTGAGAGGGGCGACCCTGAAGTGACTGCTGGGGACCATATGTCTGTCCTGTCCTGCCACCTCCCGGTCACCATCACCTGGCAGGGTTCCCAGCCCCAGGTGGAGGGGAATGTGGCTCTGCACAGGGACAGTAAGGAGCCCTCTGCTGGCATCTGAGGTGCTTCTATCAGCAGGGACCTCAGTGCGAGGGTTCTGGTGCCACGTGGCCAAGGCCCATGTGGTCCGTTCATGAGACGTAAATGAAAGGAAACTGAAGAGGGTGGGCCTGCCCAGCGTCGAGTGACGCTGCCTGTGTTCTGTGTTGATTTTCATCTTTGGCAGACGTGGCTGAGAAGGATCCGGACGAAGACTGCAGGCTGCTGGCGGTGAAGGCGCTGCTGCTTTTGGAGAAACTCAAAGACAAACTCCTCCCCCTTTCTTTCCCTTAGCCCCCAGCACCCCTCCTGGCGCCAGTCCCACTGGGAGAGGTGAAGGCTCGGGGTGCCAAGCACAAGGCCCGAGGAGGGAGCCCAACATGCAGTTTTGTGGTCCGGCCAGCTCGTGAGGTGGGCCGTCTGGCACGAGTGTGCATGCAGGAAGGCCACTGCCCCTGCTCCTGCCACTATTTATAGCCTGGAAAGTCTGAGTGCATTGCTACAGTCCCCACGAGGGCCTCTAGACAGGGCCCTCCACAGACCGAGCACCCTGAAGGTCGGGTGGGGGTCCCCGAGGAGGGACACGGGCGGGGCAGAACCAGCAGAGTGGTGGTTGCTGGAGAGAGGGGGGAGGAGGTGCTGGTGCGCAGAGCTGGACACACAGAGTGGCGGCTGCTGGAGCCCCATGGGGCGTCACGTCTCCAATCCCTCTCACTTAAAGGCAGGTGACTTTAAAAAACAACAGAAAAGGAAGAATAAAAAGGATTGCGGGTGCTCAAATCCAAGCTTTGCTTGTCTTCTCGCTACTCGGGCAGGGAATTTGGGGCCCAGAGAAGCCCTCCGAAGGGGAGACTGAAAAATGGGGGCAGGAAGGGACATGGGTCTCTGAGAAAATAAATAAACTATGAGAAGAGTTTTGGAGCTGGGGGTGGGAGAGCCTTTAGGTCAACCATCCCCTCACAGTAGGAGCTGGTGACAGAAAGGGCAGGGCCACGAGAGCTGCTGGGAGGCTACCACACAGAGGGAACGTGCCCACCGGCCACCCTGGTGTCTCCTCACTCCAGCAGACGTCGGGCCTTCTGCTCAGGAGCAGGTGTCACAACCCACCTGGGTGCTGAGACGAGGTGCAGTAATATACTAATAGCCTCGGTTCAAGAAATTCTGGAAGTTTCTTAGGTTTTACAGTCTGGACTCGGGAAATGTCATGGGAAAAATGAACCAACTCCCTTGATAGTAAAGGAGCTGAACGAAAACTCCCAGGGGCCAGGAGTGGATGGGATGGCTCCAAACTACACACACTGTCCCCGCTCAGGCAGGCAGGCAGCCAGTGCCCCCGGGCCGCGGTGGGCGCCGCATCTTCCCACAGCTCTGCCTTGTCCGCAGATACAAAAGTTCTTTCCAAAGGAGCCTCTTGCTGCTACCAGTGATGAAAGTTCCAGAAGAGCTTTCGCAACAGCAGACCGTGGCCGTCAGGGGTCGTTCTCCACCTCCTCCGCCACCTCCTCGCCCATCTCCCTGTGGTCCTCCATGCTGTTGTGGCGGGTCCGCTCAGGCGCCACGCGCAGCAGAGGGATGCCCAGGCCCTGGTGCACGGCGTCCACGGTCCGCTGGCTCACGTAGTACGACATGTTGGCGGAGGGCAGTCTCCTCCGCATCTCCTCCAGGTACTTGTAGGCCTGAGACAGACAGAAGAGCCATTTCAGGTTAGTCCACGGCGAGAGCCAAAGGGCCCGCCCCCCTCACCTGCTGCAATGAGTTTCCTGAACACCCAGCTCAGGGCTCAGAGGAATGCCATTCCCTGCTACTCCAGCGAGCAGGCGGAGGAGGCCTCTGTTAAAGGGACCGAGTACAATCACCTGCACCTCCCAGCCTTTCCAAGGGGTGCTGGTGTCAGAGGACAGACGGTTCAGGCTCTTGTGGTCGAGGGTGTGAGCTGTGATCAGCACTACCAGCTGAAGGGGCACAGCCAGCTTGCCCGGAAAGTCCTGTGAGCAGCCTGTGTTTGAGGCCCTGTGGGTGCTTTGGGACCACGCTCCCTGTAGGGTGTGCCTGCCCTGGATGCGCACAGGGAGGCCCTGAGGGAAGGACGGGTTCGCGTCTCCGTCTTTCATTCACTCGGCAGGCAGTGGTGTATAAATGCTTTGTCTTGGTTCTTTAACCAGGCATCAAATTTATCCCAGTTAACTGGGCCTGTGATTAACCTGAGTTTCTCAAATGTATGGCCTTGGTCCTCGGCTGGTAAACTACAGAATTCTCAGTATTGTTCCTGTGGCGTTTCCTCTGGTCCTGCCAGTGGGAATATGTGGGAGAGCATGGGGGTGCAAGGCAGAGTAGCTCAGGACGGGGGGGGGGTCTGAGGCAGGACAGCCTATGTCTGCCACGCCTGCCCATGCCTGCCGACACCTACCCTCACCTGCCCATACCTGCCTGTACCTGTGCACACCTTCCCTTGCCTGCCACACCTGCTAACACTTGCTACATCTGCTCACCCACAGGCAGGGCTGCACACAGGCATGGGTGGGCCTCAGTGGCTTCTAAGGCTCACCCCCAAGGTACACTTTATATTAATTCAGAATGTGACCAAAATTTCTAGGAACTTCTAAATTTTCTTTATGAGGAATAATGATCAGATCTTACTTAGTATTTCTTAAAGATGATAAAACTTTTAGAGCAATTTTATTTTGGGCAGATATAGCTAAGATATAAAAAATGAGGGGCTGGCCTGGTGGCGTAGTGGTTAGGTTCCTGTACTCTACTTTGGTGGCCCAGGGTTCATGGGTTTGCATCCCAAGCATGGACCTAAACAGCGCTCATCAAGCCATGCTATGGCAGTGACCCACATACAAAACAGGAAGATTGGCACAGATGTCAGCTCAGGGCCAATCTTCCTTACCAAAAAAGGAAAAAAGAAAGATGATCATAAACACAAAGATGTGAAGATAAAATGGTTTTTGGAGGGGTGGGGGATGGGCAGAGTGCAAGCCCCCAGGAGTCATCAAACGAGGGGAGAGAAGACATCCTCACATGAAGGACTTCCTTAGGGATTTACCAGTTGCCTGCTGTGACCAGGCACTGTGCTGGGCACACAGGACACCAGCCCAAAGACCAAGGCCAGGACGGCATGAGAGCTTCCTGGGGGCCAGAGCTTCAGAAGGAGGCAAGGTCTGGCAGCAAGCAGAATCCAGCGAGTGCCTACACTGAGGGGCGGGCTGGAGGGAGGGAGAGGGAGTAGCGAGCTGATGAGGCTGGGAGGAAGAACGTCATGGGCAGAAAGGACCTGTGCGTAAGCGAACACAACCAGGGCCCAGCGGTGTAAGCCCTCCGTGTGCAGGGCGGGTTCCACGAAGGGCAAGGAAGCAGTTTCCCGAAGGAAGGTGTGGTCACCCAACCAGAGGGAGGGCGACAAAGACAAACATTACTGGGTGTCCTGATGGCTGAGGACACTCACCATCTAAGGTCAGGAGTCTGATGACAGGGCAGCAAGAAGGAGGGGGAGACACAAGGGGAAGGGGTTTGAAGGTGAAGCGAAGGAGAGAGGTCAGAGCGGCAACGGGGTTTCTCTGCCCACCAAGGGGCAGCTCGCGCGTGCCTGTCCTTTCTCAACTTACTGACAGAACCTTTAAAATTTAGAGTTACTGAATCCCAGCGGCTTCAAACAAGGGTCAAGACAACAAAGAATTCAGTGAAATACTTAAAATGTGACTTTTCTGTTAATTTTGAGAATACAGTGGTCTGCACATTCCTACAGTCCAATTTTGTTTTTATCCTCCGAAAAAGAAGGAACCTTGTTGAGACCAGATTAAGAGCTGTTTTCTCCCAACAAAGACGGGCGAGTGAATGGGAATGGGGGGCGCCAAAGAGGGAAGGAGTGAGCAGCTCAGGAAACCTGAGCCTCATGGTCTGACCTTCAGCCTAGGGGAGCTGCTGACGGATAACTTGCCTGTGGATCTGGAAACGGCAGCCCGATGAGGCTGGCGTAGTTCACCAGCAACAGTTTTGAAATTAGCTTGGCAACACTTGGCTTGTGAGCACTTGGGAAAGGACGATGAGCTCGCGTGGGGTCACTGCAGTTTCACCAGGAACTGTCTACTAGGTTAACTCCGCGGGTGGTGGAGGGGGATGCCGCAGGCAGAGCAAGGTCTATAGGAAACCCTCTGGAACACGAAGGACGGCCGCAGCCGGGTGGAGTTCTTACGCGGGTTACAAGAGGACTAGGACTGAAGAGATGAGGAGAGAGGCTTCTGGCAATGGCACAGCAACTCATATTAGACCAACCCTCTCACAGACAATGATACGCTGGGCAAAACAGAAAAGGCACCAGAGGACACAGGCAGGCAGGCAGAGAGGGGCAGAGCCGACATCTGGAAGACGGGAGGAGCAGGGGTGAGTGTTCTGCTTGTTGTAACCTGTGCCTCAGGGGAGGTCCCAGCCAGGGCCACTGTGCGAAGCTAAAAGGCACATAGAAACCCGCACCCCCCGGCTTAAAGAGCCAGAAACACAGTCGGGGTCAACCACAGCAGGTGGAATGTGAGGAAATACTGGAAAAGAGGAGTCACAGAGGGGAGCCCAAATTCTGAATATGAACTCTGCCCCAATCTCTGGTTGACCCTGCAGTCTGCATGTGGAGGGGACGGGGGCAGACCTCAAGAAGCCTCACCAAAGCTAAAGTCCTGAGGAACGAAGAAAGAGAGGGAGGGTGGGAGGGAGAAAGAGAAGGAAGAGAGAAAGAATGAAAGAAACAGTAATACTCTTGGAGGAATATTACGGAATCTGGGGTCTCTGCAATGGGTTATCCACAATGTCCAGGATACAAAAAAATTGCTAGACATAAGAACCAAGAAAACTTGACCTATATTCAAGAGAAAAGACAAATAGTGGAGACACATTTGACATGATCCAGATGTTGCAATTAGCAGCAAAAACTTTAGAGCAGCTGCCCAGAAACTGATGATTGGATAAAGAAGATATGGTATATATACACAATGGAATACTACTCAGCCAGGAAAAAGGACCAAATTGTTCCATTCGCATCAACATGGATGGACCTTGAGGGTATTATATTAAGCGAAATAAGCCAGACAGAGAAAGACGAACTCTATATGACTCCACTTATAGGTGGAAGTTAACATATAGACAAGGAGAACTGATCGGTGGTTACCAGGGAAAAGGGGGGGTGGGGGGAGGGCACAAAGGGTGAAGTGGTGTACCCACAACATGACTAACAATAATGTACAACTGAAATCTCACAAGGTTGTAATCTATCATAATCTTAATAAAAAAAAAACAGAAACAAAACTTTAGAGCAGCAATTTTAACTACACTCTAGTGTATAAAGGAAAATACGTTTTTAAGGAATGAACAAATAGGAAATTTTAGCAAAGAAACAAACAGGGCTACGTTTAAATTCTAGAACTGAAAAATACAAAATCTAAAATGAAAAAGTTGCTGGAGAAATTAACAGCAGATTGAAGATAGCCAACGAAAGTCAGTGTATTTGAAGATAGATCCATATAAGTTATCTAATTCAAATAAGAGAAAAAAGTGATAGAAAAAAATGAACAGTAATTACAAATGTGTGTCCACGTAATATAAAAAGGCCTACCATTTAATTGGAGTCCCAGAAAAAACGAGGCCAAAAAAAATATTTGAAGGAAAAATAATTATAATTTTCCCCAATTTAGTGAAAGACATAAATTTACACATCCAAGAAGTAACAAGTAACAGGCGTCCAGGGGGAGAGGGGAGAGGAGGAGAGGGAACTTCCTATAGACGGGAGAAAACACTGCAGCTCACGTCTGATACAGGAAATACACCTAGATTATACAAAGACCACCATCAACAATAAGACAAAGACCCAGCAGAATGACAGGAAAGGATTGGAGCACTTGCCAGAGGAGACATACAGAGAGCCATCAAGCACGTGAGGGTGCTCACCACCACCAGTCACCTAGAAAGAGCACAGGAAGACCACGACGCGATGCCTCCGCACAGCCACAGGACGGCTGACAGTGCCAGATGCTGACAAAGATGAGGAAACACAGCTGTGCGAGTCATGAGCTAAATTAGTCACTTTTATCTGGAGCACCAATTTTATCTGTAAAAGTGACTGAAAGATCAACTGTGGTTATTCAGACTTAGGTATGTCGCAGACTCTTTCTCAAAAATGAGCAATAGTAACTGACAGCATTTTTTCCAAGGATAAAATCTGAGCTTTCAAGCGAAAGTTAGAATTTCAGAAACCCTGTGTATTGGCCACCATGAGCTGGACATCTTCCCAATATTTAAAGACTTTTCTGAAGGGAACAGTGGTGATATCAGCAAATGTAATTTTTTGATATGTTTAACGAAATGTGTTGACATTTGCATAACTCGGGGAATCAATATTTTTAAATGACCAACATGTTATAAAATCATGTATGTATAACAGATCCAAGAGACAATGGGTTTAGTGTAACGGTACAAAGTAACACTGATGTGGTTTCAGGCTCCTCACCGCAAATAACTGGTAGGAAATGCTGCTTGGTGGTTTTGGTGTGGCGTCGAAGGAGATCCCCGGTGTCTGGGAGGGCTCCCCTCCTCACCACATACTGGGGGGAGGCTGGATTTTCTCCATATATTTCAACTAAACAACCTATTGTACCAGACTGAATGTAGAAGCAAAAATGGAGAATCCTTGGGGCGGCCCCGTGGCCGAGTGGTTAAGTTCCTGAGCTCTGCTTCGGCGGCCCAGGGTTTCACTGGTTTGAATCCTGGGCGTGGACCTGGCACTGCTCGTCAGGGCATGCTGAGGCGGCGTCCCACATGCCACAACTAGAAGGAACCACAACTAAGATATGCAACCAGGTACCGGGGGCTTTGGGGAGAAAAGGAAAAATAAAATCTTAAAAAAAAAAAAAGTGAGAATCCAGCTGTCTTGTATCAAGCCAGACAGTAAAGAGATTTGTAAAAATGTAACACAATGCTATTTTTCTCACTAAATTTGTTTTGGAAAATATAGTTATTTTTAATGAGAATGTTATTTATTTATTTATTTATTTATTTTTAAAAGATTGGCACCTGGGCTAACAACTGGTGGAGGGTCTTGTAGAAAATGCAGTATCTGCAAAGCGCAATAAAGCAAAGCGCAACAAAAACGAGGTACTCCTGCACAGTAAATACTGGTAGCGAAAACCCACATAAATAAAAGTTCTTAGGGTCCCCAGTACTTTCCTAGGGCAAAGGGGTCCCAAGACCAAAATGTTTGAGAACCACTGTTAAACTGAATTATCAAAAACCTTCCGTAAAGAAAGCTCCCTACCCAGGCAGGCTCACGTATGCATTCTATCAACGTTTAAGGAAGAATAATACTGGTGCTACATAAGCTCTTTTAGAAACTACAGGAGGTGGGCATGCTTCCCAGTGCATTTTATGAGGCTGAATAAACCTGAGACCAATCATGAAAAAGAAAATAAAGAGAAGTTTGGTAGTTTCTTTTCTTTTTTTTTTTTTTGAGGAAGATTAGCCCTGAGCTAACATCTGCCGCCAATCCTCCTCTTTTTGCTGAGGAAGACTGGCCCTGAGCTAACATCCATGCCCATCTTCCTCTACTTTATATGTGGGATGCCTACCACAGCATGGTTTGCTAAGCGGTGCCATGTCCACACCCGGGATCTGAACCACAAACCCCGGGCTGCCAAAGTGGAACGTGCGCACTTAACTGGGCCAGCCCCTGGTAGTTTCTTAGAGTGAAACACGCTGACTACATGAGTCGGCAGTTCCACTCCCAGGTGTCTGTCCAGGTGTGAGGAACTAAGGACCTCTCCAATGGCGCAGAAAAATACCCAGTTTATGTATAAAGTAGAAATTGAAAATATACATAGAGAATAAGCAAGTAAATGTGGCAAAATGTTAAAAACCGGTGGATCTAGTAAAGGGAACGCTTGGATTCTATTATTCTTGTAACTTCTCAGTTTGAAATTATTCCAAAATAAAAAAGGCTAAAACTCAAAACCAAAAACAGAAGAGGCGCCCCCTCCCCGGGGAGCCTCCAGAGCCGCCGCGGGTGGGGCCCACCCCGGGAAGCGGAGCCGTGGACCGCCCTGAACCCCGGCCAGCCGGCTGTGGAGCCGGCGCCGCGGCCTCACCATCTGGAACTCCTCCATCTGCAGGTAGTGCTCCACCAGGAAGCCGTACACGTCCCCGACGCGGATGGTGCTGTCCAGGTCCGGCTCTTCCAGCAGCAGCTCGCACTGCCTGACCGACTCCTTGGGGTCCTCGGTGTACGTCCTGCAGAGAGCAAGGACAGCCTGAGCCTGAGGCCAGGAAACAGCTGTGTGTCAGAGGTCAGAGCAGGCTCCCGGCTGAAGGAGGAGCTCAGGGGAACCAACAGGATGGACCTTTTGTGAAGGTAATTCCTGTGAATTAAATCAATTCATTAATGAGTTAATTCATAAATTCGCTCATTCATTTAACGAGAACTTCCTGATGGCTCGCAGTGCTGGTACGCGCTAGGCCCTGGAGAGTGAACGGTTTGTCAGTCGCGGGCCCTGGCCAGGAGACAGTCTAGAGGCGGACGGTGTGAGGCAGACGGGGACGAGGGGCGTGGAGAGGGGCGCTCCGGCGCGCCTCAGGCCGTCAGGCAGGGGGCCAGCATGAGCCAAGGCCAGCGCAGGGACACAGGCTGCGGAGGAGCGGGTAGTGCATGAGCTGGGGCTGGACCAGGAGGGCCTGGTGAGCCGGCCCCAGTGGGACTCAGGGCAGGGCTGGCGGCTGGAGCTGTGAGGGGCTCAGGCTCTGACTCCAGGCAGCCGGCCCTCTGGCGTCACGAGTCCCCTCCCCTCCATCCACAGCACCCTGCCCTGTGGCTGCACAGTCCTTGCTGCCTACTCTCATCCCTTCTCCCTCAGCAGATATTTCAGAACTTACACATCCGAGTGTGAGTGCCCTTCAAAGAGCGCACTTTGTATGACAGTGTCAAAGTATTTTTGGAACTCTTTTCTCTAAAGCATGTTCTCAGATAAGGAAAATGCTTTTACTGGTTTAGGCAGAAGCTGAGCTCTGCTGCCCTCACAGCTGGCTCCGGGAACAGCTGGATGAGCTGCCAATAAATAAAACCAGTGGCACGTACAAACTTAGATTTGTGGCCTCTTCTAAACACAGACACCGTGAGGCCCCAGCCCCCTCCCACAGGCCTGGGGAGGACGTGTGCTCGGTCACCACAGTCCCTGCCTTCCCTGGCGGTACTATGGCCCCCTCGCTTGGAACCCCCCTGCTTGACCTCTGCACATACCTGAGCAGGTCCCAGGGTCCCTCAGACACATCGTCTCCCAACCCAAATGTGCCCCAGCGCCCCCACCACCAGATTTCTCTCTCAATGGTCTCTATTTCTGGAACGATCTTCCCAAAAGTGTGCCCCAGGGTCTGAGGGAACTTCCCAAGAGGAGCTCAGACACGAAAGAACAGTAATGCCCCTCGCATGCCTGCCCAGCCGTCCAGGAGTTCCTTTGAAGAATGCTCATGGGAAATGAAACCTGGGTCTGGGCCCTGGCGGTCAGGGGAGCTGGAGTCAGGAGGCGGAAGCGGGAGCCTGGGGGGTTCCCTGGGGAGCTCCACGGGACCTGAGGCGCAGCGCGCCGCCAGCCTGCACCCAGCCTCCTGTGGCCAACGCACCTGCGGGCCTGGACGAACCGCTCCACCAGCGCCATCTTGCTCTGCAGCCGAGCCAGCCTGGCCTCCTGGTCCAGGGGACTCTTGGCCTTGGCCTTGGACAGGCACTTGTAGGCCTCCGTCAGTGCCCCGTGGGCTTTGTCGTAGTTCTGGTATTCATCAATCTCCACCTGCGTGGACGAGACTGTCAGGACCCTCGGGGCTCCACGACCCTCCCCAGGGGCTGCTGGAACAAGAGGAGGGTGTGCACCTGGGCACAGGCATCGTAAAAGCCCGCCAGCAGGTCCAGGGCACGCCCCTTGGTGTAGAAGCCGATGATGTTCTTCATGATCTCGGGCTCCCGCCGCCAGTCCAGGGACTGCAGGTAGTTGGCAGCCATGATGTAGATTTCCTTTTGCCTCGAGACGCCCGCAAAGAAGATGATTTTCTCCGTGTCCCCAGACTTCAGCAGTGCTCTCATGGCCTAGACAGGGACAGAGCCTGGGCTGGGCTAGGAGCTCGAGGTGAATGTTGCGCCACCCTCCGAGAAAGGGGCACACGCTCTCCCGCCTGCCGCTGCAGCTGGGACTCCTGCCAAGAGCGAGCTCAGGGCTTGGCGGTCCTCGCAGCAGGCTTGAAAGCCCTGGTGGGGGAAGCTTGGGGCACATGGAAAGCGCGCAGGGGGCACGCTGCATCCAACGGGCAGTGATGCCTGGAGGAGCAGCCGGCCGGGGCTCACCTTCAGCTTGTTCCCGGCCTGCGTGTACTTCTTGGTCGCCAGGTGGTAGTTGCCCTGGCGCATGCAGCAGTGGGCTATCTGCTCCAGCAGCTCCCGCCGGGCCTCTTCCGACAGGGCCTTGGAGTCCTTGGCCACTGTCATCTTCTCGGCCATCTCCTCGGTGATGGTCATGTTCTGCTCCAGGCACAGCTGCAGGGCTTCGTGATACTGGGCAGGAGCCACAGAGACCGAGAAGTGGAGGTTACGGTGGGCCGCTGAGGGGGGCCATGGGCCGCTGAGGGGGGCTGAGGGCCTCAGAGGAGGCCAGGCCCACGGCTCAGTGGTGGCATGTCACTTTCTCTCACGCTATTAACATTCTAGAATGCAGTGAGGGAAACGCGGAGCTTTCAAAAGAATATTACATTTGTGGTGAGAGGAAAGGTAATCAGAAATTAATTTTATTCTATAATTCTTTTCAAATTTTTTAATTAAGGGGTTTAATTAATTTCTTAAAAATTTAAGAAAAATTTTATAGTCCTCACTTAAGAATACGTCTTGGGAAAAAAAAGAATGATGTCTTGGAGACGAGCCTGTCTCAGCAGGCAAGGGGCTGCGCGTTCTTTCTGATAGAAACGCTGATTATTTAACTTGTCCTGCCGACAATCCTTTGCTGGTACAGCCCTTGTGCATCTGCCATTCGCACGGGTTCCAACGCCTGGTCAGGACGGATTCCGAGGACAGCATGCACTGGGTGGAGGGAGACTTGAGGCTAGTGCCGCTGCGTTTCCATGGCAATCTACTGGGATGTCTAACCTTTCACCTTTACGAGCCTACTTCATGAAAAATGGAATCTCCTAGAGTTTTGATCTGTATTTCTCTTATTACAAACGAGGCTAAGTATCTGACATTCAGGGACCACCATATTTCTTTTTTAAATAAACTGAATTTTTATTCATATTCATATTATCCACATTCTTTGTCTTTTCCTTTTGAGTTGCTGGTAAGTTTCTTATTGGTTTATGGGAACTCTATACCTATTAAGAAAACTAGATTTTCAGGATACAGGTAGAATATATATTTTTTCTTATTATTTTATTATTTATCTTTACTTTGTTTATGGAGTTTTCTCCATGCACTATTTTCAAATTTGTATTTGGTCGAATTGATCAAGCCTTTCCCATCACGGCTTCTAGGTTTGGATCAGACTTAGAAAACATCTTCCTCCTTTAAGACTGCGCCACGAGACACACTGAGGCTTTGGCGGAACCGCTGCTCTTTCACCGTTAGCCCGAAATCTCTGACCCATCTGGAGTTTACAGGGAGGGAGGTGAGCAGGCTTTAACTCTTTCTTTCCCAAGCGGCTACCAGCTGGTTGTATGAACCCATTTACTGAAGGACTCATCTTCTGCCCTCTGTTGGAGATGCTCCAGCATCACAGACTAAATGTATTTACGTATGTGGCTCTGTTTCTGGACTTTCCAGGCCTGCTCATGAACCAGACCCCAATTATTCTAGCTTTGATACATTTTATGATCTGGGAGACTTAATCACTGCTCATTAGTCTTCCTTCCAGATTTTTCCTGGCTATTCTGGCTTCTCTGCTTTTCACTGTGAAAACACAGAATCCATTTATCTAGCTAGAGAAAGCGCCGTGCTATTTTTCCTGGGGTTAGATTAAGTCTGAGTCTAACTGAGGGAGGATCCACTTGTGCATCTGTTGGGTCTTTCTAAACAAAAACAGGCTGTGTGCCTCTTCATTTGTGCCAGGATTCTGACATCACTCAGAGGGAGAGCCTGAGCTGCAAGCACAATCCTGGCTCAGGAGGAAAGAGCTTGCAGTGGACAGGCTCATTCTGTGTGATTAACAATTCCCCAGAACTCCATTCAGTTTCTATCAAGGGGAATTTTCCTACTTAAAAAAGGTTAGTACACATACCCACTAGCATGGCTACCATAACAAACTAGAAAATAGCAAGTGTTGACGAGGATGTGGAGAAACTGGGACCCCTGTGCACTGTTGGTGGGAATGTAAAATGGTTCAGCTGCTGTGGAAACTGTGGAGGTCCCTCAAAAAATTAAAACAGGGTTACCATATGATCCAGCAATTCCATTTCTGGGTAAATACCCAAAAGAATTGAAAGGTCTCAACGAGATATTTGTACAGTCACGCTCATAATAGCATTATTCACAACAGTCAAAAGGCACAAGCAGCCCAAGTGTCCATCTATGGAGGAACGGTAAGCAAAATGTGATCCGTACATACAATGAAGTATCACTCAGTCTTAAATAGGAAGGACATTCTGACACACGCTACAACACAGAGGGACCTTGAGGACAGCACGCTGAGTCCTCGATAAGCTGAGTGAAGTAAGCAAGTCAGCTCCCTCGAGTCATCAAATTCAGAGAGACGGAAAGTAGAGGGTGGGTGTCAGGGGGAGAGGGACGGGAGGTGTTGTTTAGTGGGGACGGAGTTTTAGTTTTACAAGATGAAAAGAGTTCTGGAGATTGGTTGCATGAAAATGTAAATACACTTAACACTACTGGGCTGTACGCTTGAAAAACAGCTAAGATGGTAAATTTTACGTTACATGTACTTTACCACACACACACACAAAAGCTGAGTGCAGCTCCCTGGTTAGAATTTGAAGACACCCGTGAGCGGGCAGGGAGTCTCCCCGCGAGGGCTGTGAAGCTTGCTCTTAGCACCCTTCACCCCCAGGGCAGGCCAGGGCCACAGCCTTCCTTGTGAGATCGTCCCAGGAGAGACATCAAAGCCGCATCCACCGTGTTTGCAGGAAAGGTGACCCTGAGGCTTTAGTGCCTGAGTGTGTCCCGGCGGGGGGACTCTGCAGACCCCTTACCTTCTTGGCGGCCAGCAGCAGCTCCACTGCCTTCTCATACTGACTGTGCTCAAGGAAGAAGTCCGAGCAGCGGGACAGGAGGGCGGGGTCCGACTTCTCGTCCAAGTCCTCCGCTATGAGCTGCAGGGCCACAAACTGCTGGGTGGCAAAGGCCAGCTCCAGGGCCTTGGAGAAGTGGCCAGCCTACAGACAGCAGGGAACTCTGAGCAGCCGCCTGAGCCCCAGGGCCCACGAATGCCCTAGTGCTTCCCTCATGCACAGGCAAATCGCCTCAGGTCCAGGGCAGGGCCAGCCCCTCACCTTGTGGTACAGCATGACTGCCCTGTCCATCTGCTCGCCCTTTTCCTCGTAGTAGCGTGCTGCCTCGATCATGTCCTCGGGGGAGCTCAGCAGGGCCAAGTTCATGAGCTGGTCGTCCAGGCCATTCTCCTGCAGGGAGGAGGCGGCGCTTAGGGGTTCCGGCTCAGGTCTGTGAACGCTGCTGTGGGGCCCACCTCCCTCGTTTTGACTCGCTGCTGGTGGACACGAGCATGGTTTCTAATGACTGTCCTAACGTCTTACCAGGTACATGTACCAGAATTTTCAGAGGCTTCCTTTTTTTCCATTACACAGAACATTGCGGAAACTATCTGAGGTGAGGGCTCACCACATTTTCGGATTTTTCCAGAAGTGAGACCCTGGGTTGGAACATTTCTATGAATACAGAATATCCAATGACTTCCTATGAAGGGTCTGCTATTTACAAGGCCATAAGCACAAGTCAGCCTCACTGCTTGCTCGGGAGCCCTGGATACTAGGAGACACACAGTGATGAGCCAGGCCTCGCAAACACCGTCAGAGAGGACGAGATGGGTGGAAGGAGGGCACAGACGCGCACGGAGTGAGGTGGGAGTGGTAAAACTGGCCTGGGGCAGGGACGTGAGGCCCACGACACAATTCTCTCTCTTTCCTGTTTGAAGCTCTCTCCACAGAATGTGGGAGACAGCGCCGAAGCACGCCTTTCCACCTGCCCAGGTCTAACCGCCAGAGGCTGCAGGCCTCCCTGCGAGCCGGCCCGTGGCGGTCCACCTACCTTGCACAGGCGGATGGCGTTGTTGAAGGCCTGCGCTTGTCTGTAGAAGTGCACTGCCTGCCTCACTTCCTCCTGGCTCTCATACTGGCGGGCCAGGTGGTACGACGCGGCCCAGTTTCCTGTCTCATTGGCTATTTCAGCAGCCTAGAAGGACACCAGAGAAACTCCTGGGGGCTCTGTCTCGCCACACCACCGAGCAGCCCTGACTCCCAGGGGCTGCTCCTACCTTCTGGATGTTGCCCTGGAAGCAGTAAATGCGGACCAGGGAGAAGTGGTCCTGTGCCAGCTCATAGTAGCGCAGCGCGGCCTCCATCTCCGCCTGGCTCTCCAGGTACTGGGCCCACCACCTCCACAGGGTCCTGGAAATAGCCCGCGGTCTCTCTCTTAGGTCCCCACTCCCGCTAGAAATGAGCTCCTGGGTCCCAAACACCCCCTCAGAGTATACCACACAGGCGCAGCAGCCGGCGGACATGGAAGCTGGGTGCACGAGGCCAAGACCGAGGTCCCGGCGTCTGAAGGAATCTTGTCCAGGGGAAAGCCCCTGCCCCAGGTCCTGGGGACCAGCTCTGAGGAACTGAGGGGATGCTTCACACTGTCACATATGAACCTCTGGAAGGAGGTCCCCCAGCTGGTCCTGGGCAGCACACGCAGGCCTCCTGCACCCAGTGGGGGCTACTCACTTGTCCTTCATCTTATTGATGTACAGCTCCAGGGAGTGCAGGTCCTCCGACAGCATCCTGGGCACCTCGAAGCAGTGCGTGTCTGACTTCTCATAGCTGCCGGAGAAGACGAGGAGCAGCCTGTTCGCATGGGCCCAGCCCCGGTGATGACCAGGTGGAGACAGGCCGGAGCACTACTGCCCTGCCTGCAGCTCTGCGGCCTGTGGACCCACTGTCAGGAGGCAGTGGGGTTTCTTCGCTGCTTGCAGGCCCGCACGGACCCTAGTAAGGAGGGCTCCTGCCCTGGAGAGGGCTCAGTGTGGCCAGGCCCCGGGCCCTACCACCAGCACTGCCCCAGGTGACACCCAGCTCATCAGTGCTGCGGCTGCATGCAACCAGCCAGCTCTAGGCCTCAGAGGGGTGTTCCTTAACGTGTCTGGAAACCTGGAGCCGTGCCGGGCTGGAGGGGCAGCCTTGTCTCCGGGGTTCTCCTAAAACTACAGGTCTCAAGCTCCCCGTGAAAGCCCCCCACCAAGAAGGTCACAGCCTGTGCCGAGATGAGACGGCGCCTCAGTCTAGAACCTTCCTTTGGGAACCTCTATGGCCATCTCTCTGGGGCAGAGCAAAAAGGAAGAGGTGACCAGGGCCCATCCAAGAGAGAGCTGGAAGAGGCTCCACATGAGGATGCCACGTGCATCCTTCCTGTGTCCTCACGCGCCCTCTACATGCCCCACAGGCCCCATGTGTCCTCCACAGCCCGCACACCCTCCATGCACGCCTCGCCCAGCCCCTCGCTCACTAAGTGAGGGCCCGGCTGCAGTCGGCACTGGCCTCCAGGTGCCTGGCGTAGTTGTAGTAGGTGGTGCGCAGATGGATGCGGTCGTGGAGCTCGGCGACTTCCACCGCTTTCTGCCACTGGTCGGAGGCCTGGTAGAGCTTGTTCAGAAGGTCGTAGCGCTTGCAGTTCTTGTATAGCTGCTCGGCATCCTCCTGGAGAGGAGGCACACGTCAGCGTGGCCACTGTTGGCCAGAAGGCCTGCTGTGCACACCACCTGTACTGAGAGTGGCCTTGCCATCAACCAGCCTGCGACAAAGATGCACGGCACACACGGAGGACAGATGGACACTTTAGGACGTGTGGACATGTTCAAGGCAAATGACACATGCCAATGTGGCATTCCCGTCCCTGCTAGAGAAAGTGAGACTTACCCGTCAGCCAGGAAGGTCTGCCCCCGACCCAGGCCTGTCTCTCACCGTGCCACGGGGAGGAGACCCGCCCCCGCCGGCAGGCCCTCAGAGCGCCCGTGCTCACCCTACAGACCCAGGCGAGCACCACACAGGTGTGTTCAGTGCTGCCTGCCCCCAGCCCTCTTCAGAGGGTCTGCCCTGACCGGCCCCACGTGGCAGCACCATCTGATCTGTGCCCAGCTGCGCAGCCTCTGCTTCCTGAGAGTTCCATCAGCCTCTATGGGCTGTGGGTCCTGTCAGCAGGGAGGGCCGTGAGCTCCAAGAGCACGCAGGAGGCAGGGAGAGACCCTGCAGAGGAGAGAGGCCTCGGGAGCTCCTCAGGGACCTTGCCCCCCTTTTTGGCTTATGTTACTTTGAGGGGTTTCTGTTCCCTGCAACAAAATGAGCCAGACAAGCACACCCCTCAGCTCCCCTGAGCAGGGACCCCGGGAAAGTCAGCAGCGGCCCTGCCATCCCCCTGGTTTCACCCAGCCCCAGCCCAGGAGCGCCCTCGTGGCTGCAGGTCCAGGGTCCGCTCCCTGGTCCGTCTGCTTGCCTGCAGGACCTGGGCATCCCGACTCACCAGCATGCCCAGCTGTATGGCCAGCACGGCCACCCTGGCTTCCAGCTCCGGCTCCTGCTCAGCCTCCCGCAGTGCTCGGGCTCCGCGTGCGTGGCCCATGTGCCCCAGGCACACCTTGGCGACATCCAGCCGCTGGGTCTTCACACACATTCGTGCCATATTCTCCCAGACAGCCTCACTGCGGCAGGGGACACAGCAGCTCCGTTAGCTTCCAGCCAGTGCCTCCGGCCCACCAAGATGAATGCCAGACAGCACAGGGGGACCCAGGCCCGACACACATCATCACCAGGAGGAGGGGATGTGGGAGCCTCACTGGCTTCAGCAACAGAGCAACGCAGCACACCAGGGACCACGCTCCCTCTCCGAGAAGAAAATAGGCAAGACACACGTGTTCCCTGGGTCTTTGTGGCTGGTGCGCTGCTTCCCACGGCTCCCGGCCCCCGAGGGGCCCTGGGACCCGCTCCTGACACCAGCTTCCCTCCAACATTTCCCCCGTGTCGGTGGGGATGGGCTCTGTCAGGAGATGAAGGGTTTTCCGGGTAGGCTGCCAGCTCTCATCCCCTCCCCTGCTTTAGTCAGTCCGTCTGCTGAGCAAACACTCTCTTCTTGTCACCACCCACTCAACCCACGGGTGGGTCACGGGTGCCTCCCTTCCCAGAGCTGAGCTCCTAGCAGGCTGCCCTCCAGCCAGGGAGCTCTCACCCCACCGGCTGCAGTGGCAGAGGAGCAGGGGTCTTGGAGTGTCCCAGCGCCTCCCTCAGGAGCACACTGAGTCTGGGCAGTGGGATGTGGGGTGCCAACCCTGGCTCTGGAGAGCAGGATGCTCAGTGCAGGGTCCCGATGGGCCTGCAGACCAAGCTGACTATGTGCAGATCCCATGAGCCGCCCTGCACACCCCCAGGCCTCCTGTTCTCTCGTGCCCACGAGCCCCGAGGACCTTCATGCAGCTCCAGGGAGCAGATCAGGGTGCACCAGCGAGCCAGCCTGTCAGAGCAAAGGCTCAGCGGGCACGCGGGCTTCCTTCCACGTTGTAAGGTTTCTAGCATGTTCTCTCCCTCTGATGCTGACCTGGGGCTCCTGACCCACCTCCCTTGGCAGGTCAGCTGGAAATGACCTCGGACCTGGGATGACCACCCCTCAGAAATGGCGCTCCACAAAACTCAAGTGTCCCGGGGGGGCCGGGCGGGAGGACGCTCTCTGGCCCATCCTCATGGGCCCCTGAGCCCACCGCCTTGCGCGGCCCACCTTAAGCTCAGACTGGGGCCCCTTCCAAACAGACAGCAGGGTGTGAGCTCTGTGCAGCGAAGGCAAAGGAAACAAGTGTGCTTCTGCACCATCTCAGCCACTGTGCGGACTTCTTCCTAGTGTGAAACCTGCAGTCCCATGCACACATGTACACGCTGACACACCCGTGTACCCGCACACGCTTGTACATGTCCCAGACACTTAGGCACAGATATACATGCTCACGGGCAGACTCACACAGAGAAAACCCCAAGGAAATAGCCTTGTGGGTCTGGGGACCAGGCCCCTCCCCTTGCCATCATGGCTGCTCCATCTGAGGCCCCGCAGATGAAGCTAGGGAGCCCCTGGAGGAGGCGGGTTGGGTCTGCTGCTCCCAACCTGGCCAAGGAACCCTAGAGGGACTTAGGGGACTCTGCTCGAGGGCGTAGGACGAGCTGCCTCCCAGAGCACAGCCCACTGTGCTGGGGAATGAGGGGATGCTCTCGGCGTACAGCGCCGGGCTTGTAGACTCAATGTTGGGGCCCCTCCCTGACGGCCTTACCTGTGAAGAGCCCGAGGACAGACAGGAAAGGCAGGGCTCCACCCACTATGGGCCGTGGCTGGGGCCCCAGGTGACCCTCATTTCAGGTTCCCCAACATGAATCAAATCAGGGCAAAAGGAGCTCCTGAGAGAGGACGCACTGGGACCGAGGTGGGCACTGGTCCGGTGGGATGGACCTCACTATGGGCGTCTGTGGTCAGAATGCTATGCAGCCAGGTGCCCTTTCCCACAAGCAAACATATACTTCAGTGTGTTTTTGGTTTTATCTGGGTCCTGCCAGAACTCTTTTTAATCCGCTAGATATGGCTACCAAGGGTGGGATGAAAGTGCAAGGGTGTCTGGCATATTTTAGCCACAACTGGCCCCAGGTGGCCACGGCCCGTAGGAAGTGAGGCCTGGGGAGAGGGGCCATGTGGGCACTGTGCACGTCTGTTGGGGCTCGATCCCCTTTGATGACCTCACACTAGGGCTACCCAGAGCACCAAGGAGTACACGTCAGTAAGTAATTTCTTGGACATGAGCCGCTGGTGGACTTCACGATACGTCAAGGTCACTGTGCGAGACCATCCCCTTCCTCCTCAAGGAGACCCTTGGCTTCCGGGTTCACATCATTAACTGGCTGAGAGAGCAGAAGCTTTAGAAGCCCCACTCAGCTCAGCGAGCCTGCAGCTCCGTCTGAGTCAGGCCCTTCCGCCCCTCGTCCCCCCGGCGCCTCAGCCAAGAAACCACCTTCTCTGCATTCAAACCCCCTTCCTCACAACAAGCGGGAGACCAGAGTTCATCTTTCTCCTGGTCTGAGGCGCTGGTGGAAACGTGCGCTGAAGCGCCCCTGGGTGCAAAGCCCGTTGTCTGTAAGCACATGTCTGTTAGCAGCTGGGATGCTGCCCTGCTGAGGTGGGGGCTCCCTGGGCCCCCCAGGGTCTTGGGGGCAGACAGACCCAGTGACTGAGGGCACTCCAAGATACTGCTAGTTCTAGAAATGACAGCTAGTGACAACACAGAGTCCAGTGGTGAAATCTGGACTCTCAGGACACTCTGTTCTCACCCCACAGCTTCTAGTCAATTTTACACAACTTCTCTCGTTTCATCTACAGAACTGATGGAAAGTCATCACCACGCCTCAGAGAATTCTCATTTCCCTGACCCTTCCACTGTCACACATTTTTTTTTTTTGCAGAAGAATAGCCCTGAGCTAACATCCGTGCCCATCTTCCTCTACTTTATACGTGGGACGCCTGTCACAGCATGGCTTGATAAGTGATGCGTAGGTCCACGCCCGGGATTTGAACGAGCGAACCCCAGGCCGCTGAAGCAGGGCACGAACTTGACCACTGCGCCACTGGGCTGGCCCCCACACATTGTTTTAAACACACCTCATGCTTTCAAGGTGCAGCCCCAGAGCAGGCGTGGGTGGCCTGGGTGGAGGGTGGTGGTCCGGGGCTTGGAGCCACCCGTCTTCTAGGTCAGTGGCATGAGTGGGTGAGGAGCAAGGTGCTGGTGAGACACAAGGGCTTTATATTCTTTCCAAATGATTTCAAGTGATTGGAACATTCTTTAAACTACCCTGTGCCTCATTTATATGGTGACTGACAAATAATAATGTACAACTGAAATTTCACAATGTTATAAGCTACTATGAGCTCAATAAAAAAAAAACAAAAAACCTGTGCCTGAGAGTCTAAGAGACCAGGTGTGAGGGTGTGGCGAGGGCAGGGGGGGGCCTCTTCTGTCTCCTCTTCGCCCGCCCTCCCCTCTGCTTTGTCTTGAAAACAAACTGGCTGATACCTGCACCCAATTCACGTGGAAAACAACCCGGAAACCACGGCTCAGAATCTTCCCTGGGCGCAGAGCAGGGCCACTCTCTCTCCCGTGCCCATGGCTGTGCGTGCCTCCAGGCTAGCAGCAAGCTGCTCTTGAGGGCGGGGGCCAGGGGCCTGGGGACCTGACTCGGGTTTGTTGTGCCTTTCTAGGTTAAAACTGTCTGGCATGCTGTGTTCACCTACTCGACCCCAAAGTATTCTGTCCACCAGGTCACTGAAACGCCCGGCTATTTCCACATGGCCCTCCGTCTGGGGAATTAAGTCTCTGCCAAGTGGGGGCTTGGAAAAGCAGGCGCTGGAAGTGCAGCCAACGGCCAGCAGACGGAAGCTGGGAAGGCCCGTCCCCCCTGGGCTGAGGCTGCCTGCTCCCCACCCAGCTGAACACAGGACTGCTGAAGAGTCTAGACCCAAAGGGCTAGCCACGTTCTCGGCTGGCCTCCGCGTTCCGGCCGCCAGCATGGTCTCAGCACCGTGCACAGCTCCTGATGCTGTCTCCGTGGGCAGCTTTACCTCTAGCGCGGAGTTCTGGGGTTTGTGCAGCCTACATAAACTCCAAGAAGTAAACACCCGCCTGGCCCCCATCCACGTCTTGAGAGTTTCCTGTCATCCGGGAGTCTGTGCACAGCGCTCACAGCTGCACTTCATCAGCTCTGAGAGGCACATGAGGCAGCTGAGGCTGGCCTGCAAACGGCCCCATTTTCTGGAAAGCCTTGTGCTGGGAGAAGCTGCCGGAACCAGCCCCAGAGGCCCCTCTTCCCGGGCCTGCTCTGTGGGGACCCTGCAGTCAGAGCAGTGACTGGAGGGTGAACAACTCCATGTTCTCCCAGGCGGCAGCCACACTGTTGCTCAGTCTCCCACTTGTCCGCTCCGAGAGCCACTCCTGTTTGTCTGCGGGCCGGCACGGGAGGCACCCGCGGGCACCGCAGCTGGACCCCGAGACGGCACTGAAGACACGGAATGCAGAACAGGAGGGGCCCCCTTGGTGATTCAGGGAGCCCGCGGCCTAGCTTCCATTCCCCTCGTGGGCCCCCAGGGTCACAGGGATGGACGGGGTGCCTCTGAGGACAGGGTCACTCCTAACTCAGGTTCTGCTCCCAGGCCTGCCGCCATCGCCCCCAGCTTCCCACTCTGCCATGAGCTGGAATCTGGCGGGATGGCTCAGTGTGTGGGACCTGATGGCCTGCAAGAGCCCCCAAAGGCTTCCTGGTGCCCCCAGGAGACTGTAACAAGGAGGACTCAGTGGGTGGCCTGGCCCTCTCCTGGCCCAGCCTGGGAAGAGCTAGATGGAGCTGACCCAGGGCTGCTCCTGGGACAAGTAAAGCAGGCACTCCGGTTTCTGAAACCCTGTGCTTGCTTCTTATCGGAAGTTAGCCATTTAAAGACTACCTAAGGATAGGTGATTTAAATAAATGAGGGAAACTGACCCTCTTCTAAGGGAAACTTCTGGGAAAACTTCCTTTTCAAGGCGATCCACTGCATGGTGTGCTTAGGAACACTGAGTGCTTGAAGCACTTGCCCTAGTCCTCCTCAGAGAAGGGGCAGGTCTTCCGAGCGGAGGCGTGAAGAGGAGCGCAGAGGTGCGGGGAGAGAGACAGCACGCCGGCCCCTCCCCACCCAGTCCCTGGTGCATGACCACAGGGACGTGGAGTGAGAAACAGGAGAGCAGGACAGCACCTCTTCTTTTGGCACAAGCCAAGGAAGGAGGGAAAGTAGGAGGAACTCCGCTGGCGCATCTGCTACTAACTCTGGTGGGAAAAATCCTAAAATAGGTAAAATCCCCAGGGAACTGATGGACAGACGTTTCTTGGAACCCACGATTCTCCAACGGCCCCTGCCTTTTGGGAATGTGACCCTGGCGTGGGAGCCTCGCCTGCGAGCGGCAGTGCAGGGCCCCTGCAGACATGCGATCAACAGCAATGGGGGCGGGGCTTCCAGGGCTGGCCGGGACCCTGATTGGTGTCCACACAGGTTGGGAACTCTGGAGCTCCAGGAGCCAGAGAAGCCGACCTGGAGAGGGCTGAGACCAGACCAGTTCCACTCGGCTCTTCAGATTGCGGTCATCTCATTATCTCCGTGACCTGGGCAAGTTGTGTGACCTCTCTGAGCCTCAACTTCCTCTCCTGTAAATGAGGGTGCTCGTCCCTACACTTTGGGGGACATGGTGATGACGATGGGGCAATGTGTGAAGACAGCCAACAGTCAAGAGGCACATGCTGCTCCTACACAGAGCCCAAGGGGGGAAAACTTCACAATGTCTTGGGCACGTGTGCTTAGAACGTGGCACACATGTGCCTTTTTATTCATTCACATCCGCTTTGGGGCCCTGGCTGGGTCAGAGGCCCTGTGCTTGGTGTGGGGGCTCCAGAGCTGGTGCCATAGATCCTCACACTGGGTTAGGCTCCTGGCGCAGAAGGGTCAGGGCAGAGCAGATGAAGATCTCTCCAAGTTCCCAGCAGCTTAAGGGGTTTGTCCGATGTCCAACAGTGCACTGAAGTGATGGACCTGCTCCCTTATCAGCTGTGCCAATCAACATTCCTGTCAGCAGCAAACACAGTCCGGGCCAGAAACCACATTCCCTCTGCCTTCAGGCCTTGCTGGGCGCCCTGCACGGCACATCCAGACCTCCACTTTCTCGTACCTCAAGGATGATGCCCTGGTCTGGTGGTTCTCCAAGTGAGGGCCCCCAACCCACCAGATCTGGGCAGCAAGTGGGTCTCAGCCAGGAAGTGAAGGCCTGTCTAAGGGAACCTCTCCACCATGCTCGGCACCTCTCTGCTGCCCTCCCCTCTCAGCGATTCCCTCTGTTGTGTCTCCAGGTCTACAGCAAAATCCCTGTGACAAGGACAGGCCCCGGTGCATCGTGGACTGGCGGTACCTTTGTGCTGGAAGGATGACCGGAAAGCTGGGTGGACACTCAGTCCCCAGCACCCTGCCCGCCCTGCGCTGTGTGTGGCTGTTCCCAGGCCTGGGGCCCGGTGCAGGAGCTTGCCTGCAGGGCTGTTGGCAGCACCTGCCTTTGCAGCTGCTCCTTGGTACCTGAGCGCCAGGCTGGCCCAGTCCAAGACAGACAGCTGGGACTACGGGTGTGTTCTGGGCCGGCATCCCTGGCCTTCCCTTTCGGAAAGGAAGGTGGGGAGGGGGAGGGGAGCGGGGTCCCAGAGCAGGACTTCAGAAGGCCCCCTGCCTTTCCTATCAGGAAACACATCCTGTTAGTGTCTGGCTGCTGTGGCCAGGCTGCTATTTGTTGCAGTTGGCTACGCCCTCCAGCTCACCAAAAACAGCCTCAAAAACAACCATTTCCTCTCTGCTGAGAGACAGGGAGAAAACGCACGCGCACGCACACGCACTCTCTCTCTCTCTCTCTCTCACACACACACACACACACACACACACACTTCCCTGCAGCAGGCTCTCTGCTTTCCAGGACCGGCTGTTTCGTGGCGGAGGCACCGGGTAGGGGCTCAGGCAGCTGAGAGGCCGCTGCACGCGCACTGCTCCCGCAGCCCTGCCCAGAGCCAGGCTCCCGTGCTGGTTCCGCTCTGAGCCAGCTGGACCTCAGGAGCGAGGCCCAGGCCGACTCCCACGTGGCCACCTGCCTCTTGAGTTGCTTTCTGTTTTCCCCGCAAAGGGGAGAAGAGGCTTCGAAGCCTCCCTTGGCCTCCGAGTCCGAGGAAGACGGCGCACCCACGACTCTGGACTCCCGGTGGTGCCCCCGCTTCCTCCCTGGGATGGGCCGAGCAGCCGGCTGCAGCTCAGGCCGGGCCCTGCTCCAGGTGCAGGAAGGAGGGTAAAGAGGGCCGTGAGGAGGGCTCACCTGCACCTGCCGCATGGGCCTTCCCGACGCCTCCAAGAATGAGCGGTGATGTCCTCTAGCCACCCCTAGCAGCGTCTCGGTTCTCCCCCGCGCAGCAGCTGACCAGGACTGGGACTTTCTCCACAACAAGCGGACGGCACCCGCAGTCCGGGATGACTGTCCAGAAACTGGTGGCCACGGCCGTGCTGGTGGCCCTCGTCTCTCTCGTCCTCAACAACGCAGCGGCCTTCACCCCCAACTGGGTGTACCAGACACTGGAGGATGGGCGCAAGCGGAGCGTGGGGCTGTGGAAGTCCTGCTGGCTGGTGGACAGGGCCCGGGGCGCGCCGAGCCCTGGGGCCAGGCCGGGGCAGGCAGAGGCGCGGGAGTGCGAGGCCCTGGGCTGGGGCTCCGAGGCAGCAGGCTTCCAGGAGTCCCGAGGCACCGTCAAACGTAAGTCTGCTTATTTTTCCGTTTCCTTTAGAGCAGTTGGGGGCCCATATGGCGTGCGTTTGCTGACGGGTGAGGGGGATCTGCTCTGAGGGGTGACACTGGCTCTCGGTTTGGAACCCAGGCAAGCCCCGAGCTCCACACCCACCCTCCACCGGTGAGCCACAGGCGCTTGCCAGTTCTGCTCAGCCCAGACCCGCCTGCGGCTCCTTTATAACAGAGAACTCCTCTCGTCCAGGAGTGGGGCTTCTTCTCTGCCATTAAGCATTGCTAACCAAATCAAAGACAATACTGTTTTCTTGGTGGAAATAACGATCGTTAATGAGTACAATAAATAAGCAGTTGTAAAACACGCGCTGAGTTCTGACTTCATTCCACGGTCGTCAGGGCGAAGGCTGAGAGCACGGAGGAAGACCTGCTGGGGAGTGGCTGTAGGGGGGGTCGTCGGGAAGGGGACGGGGAGATGGCCCTGCTGTGGAGGGCAGGAGGGCTCCAGCGCCGTCTCAGGAGGGCAGCCCCTTGCTCCCTCCGCCCGCGGGCCTGGCCAGGCCCTGCTGGGTCACGTCGCGGCACCGGCACCCTGTCTCTTGACTGCTCTGTAAGCTGGGAACTTGACTTTGGAAGCGGGGTCAGGTTTGAGTGGACAGGAGGGAAGGTTCATAAGGATGAAGATGCCTGTCATCAAATGTGTCATCTAAGCGGTCATGGGACCCATAGGCACAGGCCTCCCCATGACGACCCTTCAGAAGTGCTGACGGAGTCTAACTCGCAGGTCGGTGTCTCTGGTTCCTGAGGCCCCACGCGGCTCTGAGGAGGCGTGGGGCTCTGGTCTAGCCTTTGCCAGATGCTTTCCGAGCGGGTCCCAAGTCCTCAAGAACAGGTGTGTGAATGTCCCCAACATGCTGTTCCTTCGAGGGAACCCGGGGTGGGGGATGTTGTCCCCACTTTACAGGCAAAGAAACTGAGGCTGCAGGAGGCACGTGGTTCGGCTAAGGCCCTTGGGGGGCTGCAACCCCGACCTGACCCCTCAGAGGCCTCACCGTGCAGCCTGAGGGGCTCTGCCGTCAAGGAGTGGCTGTGACTGCCAGCCCCCTCGTCTCCTTTGCAAGCAGGGAGTGACAACTCGTCTTTAAAAGATCAAAGTGCATGAATGATTTCAAAATTCCCTATGAGTTCTCAGAACTCAGGGGCCTCTGGGAAGCTGGACAAATGGAGCTGAACTTGGGCCTCTGTGTGACTTGCTGATGGACGGCGGTCGGTCCTTCTAGGTTTGGGGATTGTCCTGGGGAGCAATGAAAGCCAGCAACCCTGGTTCTAGTGTGGACTCTGTGTGACTCACACGATCCTCCCGGTGCACACCATGTGCTCCCACAGAGCAATCCCAATCCAGGGGGCCCCAAACTAGCCCAGCCCTGCCAAAGCCCCCATCACCACACAGGTGTCCTCGCCGGGCATCCAGTCTCAGGCCAGGAGGACACAGGGCCTGGGATGGGCTCTGCCTCCATACCCCCCACAGCCAGCCCTCATGGCCTCCCTCCTACCCTGCCACGTGTCCTGAGTGGCCCCCACGCATCTCCCCCAGCTCGTTTGCTGTCCTTCCCTGACCACCCGACAAGCTCCTTGAACAACTTTAAAAATACTCTCTCATTGTTAATATGGCATTTGCATCCACTGACACTTAATAAATCTCTGAGCATCAAATATTTGTCCAAAAGCAAGGGAAACATCCACAGAAGCTTCTCGCAAGACTGAATTGAGGAAAAGGAGCACACAGCAATTCCGGTGCTGACAAACCTCTCACCAGCTCCATGCGACTGAACACGACGTGAACAAGGAGAGCAAGTCAGCAGCCTCTGAGGAACTGTGATTCTAATGTGCTTGCTGTCCCTGCTGGTCCCGAGCTGGGGGCTCCCAGTGCCTTGTTTGTAGGCTCACCGTCTGCCGCTGCCTTAGATCAAACTGGCACCCAGTCTTGATAACTCTCATGCAAAATCCTAGCCCATGCTTTGCCCCAACCAGCTGGGAGCAGAGACTGGGAGGAGGGAGTAAGGAGTCCCTGGATGACGCCGCTTCGCGCAGCACTGAACACCTTCCACGTCACCCAGCTGTCACTCTGCAAAATCACCTCAGTCTGTGACGGGGCACGTGTGTCCAGGTTGCAGGGCTGACAGCGAGGGGGGTGAGATGTCACTTGTCACACGTCGCTCATTCGGCTTCGCCTGAGAGCCAGGCGGTCCTGGAGATTCCAGACGTGGCGTCAGGCAGCCAGGGGTAGTGGCCTGGGGACAGCCAACACGCTCCTGCTAGTTGTGCGCAAGGTCCTGGCAACGCCCCGTGGAGCTCAGAGTCGGAGCCACTCTGTGTTCATGGTGGCAAACACACCAGGGGCCAGCACCTATATCTGAACTCTGGTCAGGGGCGTCCGTGCTGCTGGGGCATGGGCATGGGGGCCGGTCTAGGTCTACCAGCTGCCCCCATATCGTGCTGGGTCCTGTCCTGGAGGATGGGGAGGGTCTTCCCATCCACTGGCTCGCTGGGCAGCGTGGGGCAACGGTGACTTTTATTACTGATCAGGCAGCTCTTTCCCCGCTCTGAGGAGGTCTACGGGGACTCAGGGGCCATGAGGTCCGCCTCTGGAGAGCCCGCACACCTAAGTCCAGGGTCAGCCTGACTCTTGGGTCCTTGTCTTCTGTGTCATTCTTCATCCTTCCATATTTCATGCATTCTGTCAGGCACCCTAAGTTCTTCTTCTGAAGTAAGGTGGGACACGAATAAACATTTAATTAAATCTTCGGCAGACGGCTGGCTGGAGGCCCCGCCCCTGCCCTCAGGTGACTGGTGCTCTCTGGACCAGGTGGGTGACCGGAGCCTCACTGGAAAGGCAGGCTGGGAGGGCCTTTGGGCTGGGGACTCAAAAGTGTGCATCACATCCTGCTCGCCAGAAGACATTCGCGCCACGTTCTCACTAGGCTCCTTAAATTCCAGAGGCTGCTGCCCAGGCTGTGTACACAGATAGTATGAGAAGCCACAGAATACCCGGGCCTGGTGGATGGCAGCCAGGACAGGTCCCCTCTGGGCAGCTGGGATGGGGGCATGTCTCTTCTCTCAGGCAGGGTGACAGGTCTGTGGGCAGTCACTGTCTCATCCTTTATATCCTTTTGAGATCTTTGATGCCATGGACCCATGAGGACTTGGTGACTTGGGCAGAGGCCCTTGTTTGGTGGCCTGTGAAGTGCGGACACCACGAGGAGCCGCTGCCACGGTGTGTGGCACTGGGCGGTATGCTCAGAGCCACCAAGGCCAGAGAGCTGGATGGAGGAGGACAGCAGAGGGAGGGCAGGGCAGCGGGGCCCACGTGGGGAAGGAGAGGTCCGAGTTGCCTGCATTCTGTTCCTGGCTCACGAGAGCCTCGGTCATGTGGCCTCACGGCACCAACGTGCACCCTGTGGCCATCCCCTGGTGCATGAGTCCACCACAGGCCACTCCCCTCCAGGGCCAGCCCATTCATTCAAGTCTTTCCTTGTCTGCAAGGCTGAGCTTGGGAAACTGGACAGACCTTCCTGGGCCTGGCTACGAATCGGAGCAGTCTGCTCTCTCGCGCTAGTAATATCCGTAATGTTTTAATAGCCCTTGTCTCTGAGGTCACTCCAACCTCCCAAATTCCACGATCTTTTAGAATAGCAGAGCCTGCTCTATGGTTGTTTAAATGGGAAAAATAATTGCAAAGAAAATTAAGTGTAAAGACAGAAAAGCATATGAAGAACAGCGGCCTCCACGGGAAAGCCAGCAGTTCGCGGAGCACATGGGAAGGAACCACCCAGAGCTCATGCATCCCGACAGGAAGACCAGTGTGGCCCCTGCATGCGTGTGCAGCCGTCGCTCAGGGCTGGCCGTGCCTTCAGGTGCCCTGTGAAGACTGCGTGAGCAGCCAGGAAAGTTCCGGCGAGTCAGCCTGAATCCTGGCTTCCAGCCCAAGCTGACGGCCACGCCGCCTCAGCCTCAGGGGGAGGTGAGAGGATCTAAGACCCAAGTGAGCGAGCACACGGTGTGCGTAGGGTCCGCCCCGTGCCCCCTCAATGCCACTCAAAGAGCACTGTTTCTGTTTCCTGACATTTGGGGCTTCCAGTCTCTGCTCCTTTGTCCACATCATTCTGGACCCAATGCTACACCAGTGCCAAGAGCCCCCCACGCACCAGGCCCAGCCACGCTGCACCGTGAGGGCCCCCAGGACCTCCCCGACGCTACCCTCTCATCTCCTGGCATTTTAAAGGGTAGACAGGAGTGTCAGGGTTTCTAGCGATCGCAGTCATGTTTTTGGGGTGCCTTGGAAGACTCGGGCAGTGAAGCCCAACAGGGAGTGTGCTGGGCCTGTGAGAAAGGGGAGCGAGAGAACACGAGCTGCAGCACTGAGCTCGTCCGTGCCATCGAGCCAGGGCCAAGGCAGCCGTCGTGACTCACTGTCATCGTCGAGCAACTCGCCCTCTCCTCTCTCCTTCGCTCCCTGTCTCCTTCCAGAAGCCCTCTTGCCTCTTTGCCCTCAGGGCTGCTCTGACTTCCCAGCAGCCCAGGCCTCTGCACTCTACAGTCGTGCCAGAGTCCACGCTGGCCTCAGAGCTGGCAGTGCCACCCCCAGGCTGGACCAGGCACGTCGGGAAAGGCCTGGGATCCGGGAAGGGCGAGATCCTCCAAGCTCCGAACGGCAGGAGGAAGCAGCTGAGACACAGTGGGGAAGAGGAGCTGACCCTCCATGGCAGGAAGTGGCATAACGCTGCCATTTGACTCCGGACTCCATGAGTGCTAAATATAAACTCTGCCCGCCTGCAGAGTGTGATTCCCAGACCACAGGAGCCTCAAGATGGGGGGGCGGGGCCAGCAGGCCAGTGGTCCCCACTCTGCCCCGGGGAGGCTGCTCCAACAGTCTGGAAGGACCTCAGGAAGGAGCCTGACTTCACAGGGGACGCGTTCCTGCGAGGTCTGTCCTCTGCTGCCCAACACGTGGGGAAGTCGCTTCTCCTCCACGGGCCTCACAATGGCACCAGTGCCGCCCCTCGTCCCCCACTTTGTGGTGCATCTACCAAACTGCTCTGTCCCCTTGGTCCTATGCACATACCCACTGTGCGCCTCCCTCTAGGACCAGGTGTGTATGAGGGAGCAGACAGCAAAGAGCCATGGAGAGAGGGTCCCCAAGACTCTGGGTGCAGAAAGGGAGGAGCTCCAGGAGGAGGGGAGCTGTCCCTGAGCAGCCTCGCCTGCACTGACCACCTGCCTTCTCTCCCTCTCTGCCCGTGCAGTGCAGTTTGACATGATGCGCGCCTGCAACCTGGTCGCCACAGCGGCGCTTGCTGCGGGCCAGCTCACCTTCGTCCTGGGGCTGACGGGCCTGCCCCTGATGTCGCCCGATTCCCAGTGCTGGGAGGAAGCCATGGCCGCTGCCTTCCAGCTGGCGAGTAAGTACCCCCACATCTCCGGGCATGCAGAGTGGCTGCGCCTTCAGCTCCGGTTGGGGACAACAGGGCTTCTAATGTCACGGTGACCCCCATGGGTCATCCTCCTGCCCGACTTGTCGCCGTGGGCAGAAGCAAAACAGAAACAAACACATGGAAAGAGCGCTGAGGACACAATCAGGACCGGCCTTTGGGTCTCTGTGCTGGTGGGCTCCTGGCCTTTTCCATTTAAGAGGGCGCTGGCCCTCTGGGCCACAAGCTTGCTTTCCAAAGTCTTGGGTATCTGACATTTTCCTTGCCCCTCTGCAGCCGAGGTGTTGGGTGGCCCGGGTTCCTGGTCCTTCCGCGAGGGTGCAGCAGCTGGGGGAGCAGTGAAGCAGCTTGCTGTGGGCAGAGGGGGAGAGCCCCCGACTGAGCTCCTGCCTCCACCGCCTTCCCAGCCAGCGGTGTGTGAATGCAGAGGTCGGGGCACACTCCTGGTTCCCAGACCGCCTCATCTGCACAATCCGAGATAAACACAGCTGCCTGGGACCCGCCCTCACGAGCAGAACAAAGTTGGAGAAATGCTGCTAGCACGTTAGACAGCCCGAGCGCACACACCCTGTCCTGGCTCCTACACAGGTGCACACACAGCACCATAACAAAAGACACAACTCCCTGTGTTGCCACATGAGCGTGCTGGGGGGCGGGGTGTGCGGGCGAGGCAAGGGAGCCTGCTTTGCCGCAGAGCACCAGGCCTTGGGCCATCAGTGAATGAGCCCCTCTGGAAAAATCTGGAAGCCACCAAGGCCTCTGGGGGTGACTAAGGGCCAAGTGGGACAGGGCACGAACACACCTGTAGTCCTGACAGGGTGAGTGGTGGTGTCATCGTAAACAACGAATGGAACTGTTGGCAACAGAAGCCATGAAGCTGTCTGTCCATCACCCCCAGGGAGTGGAGGGGCTTCTCTTCGGGTCTCCCCTCCACCACTGCTCCTTCGCACTGGCTCGGGGTTTTAACAATCATGGAAACCTGGGAGAAGTTCAGGTTTTCTGCCTCCGAGGGGGGAAAAGTCAGACTGGTGGTCCTGTGGAGACAGACAGATGCAGTGGCCAGGGTGTAGGGCATCATTAGCCAACCCATCTGCCTCTCCTGCTCGGTGGGGAAGGGCAGCGTGTCCCAACATCGAAGGTGCAGTTCCAACAAGCCAGCAGGAGAAACAGCAGGAAGTCTGAAGTGAATCATTCTAGGAATAATGGATCCTGGCCCTTATCTTTCTGGAGAAACACAATTTCCAGAATGAGGCTGACAGAACGGCAGGTATTCATGTGCTGGAAAGCGCCCTGGGTGGGATCGGAAACACCTCCTGTGACTTATTAATAGAAGGCGGTGTGGTCCTGGGCCAGTCACTCCCCAACAGCCAGGGCCAGCTTGGGGAGGGGGGCTGCCGAGGGCTGAGCCAGTAAAGTGTCCAGGAAAGAGCAGAGGGTTGGTGTCAAGGGAACTGGAACTGCATCTTGGCTCTGTCACTCACCATTGGCGTGAACTGGGGCTAATCCCCGATCCAATTCACTGCTCTAATTCACCCCTCAGTTTACCCAGCTTCACAATAGGGGAGGATGTCTGTCCCCACCTGGACTGACTCTGAGGATTAATGACGTGGGTGGGATGGGATCTCTGCCCACTTCCACCCCTGCCCTCCTCCATGACGGTGGGTAGAAACACGGACGTTCCAAATGATGTGACCTGTTTAGGGAAATGACCCATCTGCCGTCTTTGACTTTGGGGCCGAAAACCAGATGCGGCTTCCTCGGTCTTACTGAACTACCCGTCTCCACCATGTGGATTATCTCAAATTCCATCCCTTCAAGAAGGAAGTGGAAGATTCTGAAATAGTGACTGGAAAAGCTGGATTAAGAACAGATATTTTAGTGGCATTAAAGAAATGAAAGTAACAGTTCTTGATTTTGAAGATAACTTTCTAGCAGGATTGCATTTCTTAAGAAATTTCTCTGAGACACTTAATTAGATTATTAGGAGAAATATTGTGGGTTTGGTATCAAAACTGACATCTTACTTCCTGTAAACTCTTATTTCAGAACAGGATAGTGTGGCTTCCAAATAACATATTTAAAAAAAAATCGAAATAGAGGGACGCCCCATCAGCTAAAATCAAGCTGTCCTGCAGCAACCCCGGGGGCACTGCCGAAGGTCTCCTAGGGGCCTGCCCTGGCGAGATGGGGGCTGGGGTCCTGTGCTCCTCTCCCGAGCATTTCCAGGCCAGCAGACCTCTGGGAAGGCTGGACCAGCCTCTGTTCAAACAGTCAGACAGGTGGAGGCCGAGAGAAAAAGCCAGAAGCACCGAGCGGCAGCCCGTGGCATTTCGGATCGTCCCTCTTGCCTCCACAGGCCGCCTCTCCCCTTGGTGTCTGACCATCACCACCAATAAGTCTGTTTTGCCCAAAAAGGAAATGCATTTGGCCCTGTTTAGACTTGTTTCATTGACAAACAGTACAGAATGCAGCTATGTGCCTTTCTTCTATCATGCTGCTAATTTTAGAGGTAGGTTTTTTCCTGTGCTCCGGTCTGTTTTAAACAGTCAGGGAGAGACTGAAGGGCGCCAGGATATCCTGTCCCAGGAGGGGGAAATGCCTGCTAGTACCTGTTATGCAAGCGAACCTTGAGTCCCCGGTGCTGGGGCCAGAGGGTGGGCAGGGGGAGAAGATGCTAATAAAAGTAGGAGGGGAGGCTGGGAAATGATGGAACAAGTAAGAGACAGCAACATGCCAGGAGGGGCCCCGACGTGCCAGTGTGAGACCAGAGTCCCCGCTCATTCATTCATTCCAGTCATTTCTGGGCACCGGTCCAAGCTTGCACGACGCCCGGCTGGGTCTGTAAAGACCGTCCTCCGCCTCTCACAGCTGTGGCTCCAGAGGAGCCTGTGGCAGTGACATGAGGGAGGACTCTATGAAACTGCCTTTTTCTTATGGCAAACACATGAATATCAGCCATTTCACCTGGTTTACTCTATCATGTTCAAGGTACTACACGTAATAGTTTCCCATTTCTTTGCAGAATTTTCCGAGTGTAATTTTAATTTGCCTTAAAGTTGAAAAATTCCTTTCTGTCCCTGATTCCACCATACCCCATAAGCTGAACATCCCCGTGAAAATTCTGCAACTTCCCTGTGGTGACAGCACTATGCACATTAGGGACCCCGAGCCTGAGGCTCCCGGGAGGTGGGGCAGGCTGGCGGCCTCCACTCGATGCATCGGGGGATGGTGCTGTCACCACAGGGCAGCTGTGCCGTCCCCTGCGCTATCTTCCCACCCTCTCCCTTCCTGCTCTCTCTTGCGGGTCTCCCAGTCGTAACCAGTACACGGCTGGAACAAACATCAGGCTTTTCTCTTCTCCTTCTGGATGCCCACTTGGGGGTGCCCAGAGCAGCCAGGCGTTCTGATGACAGATGACCAGCAGAGAGGCAAGAGGGACTATAATGAGGACCTGCCAGCGTGGGGGCCGAAGGGCCGTCCCCCAGCCCCGGAGAGCAGCTGAGAGGCAAGGCCCTGCCTTGTTGGGTGTGAGGGCTCCCCAGACACAGCCTCACACCCCGCACAAGCCTCGTCTGGCTGACTCCAGACCTTTCCTCTCTCCTTCATTCTCTCACATCCTTCTTCTCACTGCCTCTCCTCTTTTGCGGCACCTCTGTTCTTTCATGTCAGTGGTCTCGCTGATGCGTGCAGAGAGGCATAGGCAGAAGAGGGAGAGGGGCTGTGAGTGGGGGTCAGAGGAAGTGACCTATGAAAGGCAAAAAGGTCAGTCCCAGCCTCTAACTACTGCAGACACCCTTGGACCCTGCAATAGATACCTGAGTGACATCTGGAGCAGAGAAGAAAGCCTCGGGTGAATTCTGCAGGCAACTTAGCCTGGCAGGCACCTTGGGGTGAGGTCCTTAGCTCTTGAGGGTTCCTAAGAAGGTGCGAGCTTTCTCGGGGGGCACCTGAGTGGAGAGCCTGGCTCTGGAGCAGACTACCTGCCTCCGCTTCTTGTCAGCCACGAGGCCCTGGAGGCATCGCTCCACCCGCTGTGCTCTTTACGCAGCAGGGAGAGCTCCTGTCAGCCTTCACGGCCGCAGCGAGGACTGGCATGCTGGCTTCAGTCACACCTGCTGCCATTTCTATTCTGACTTCCTGCCACAGTCCTATTGGTTCACACAACACTGAAAAGTCATCAGTCCCCAGACACGTCCTCCGTGCTGTCCGGGCAGGACTGAGGCTCTCCCCTGAGCCTGGCGCGAGTGCCGAAGCCCCGCCAGGCACTCCCTTAGGCCACCCCACAGGCAAACTACCCTCCTCGGCGGAACGCTGGTGGGCTCTGAAATTTCCTACGTGCGACCCTCCTCTGGCTCCTTGGGTGCTCGCAGCAGCCCCTGGGCCCTTGCTGTCAGGTCTGCAGGACTGACCAATGAAGTTTGGTCTGAAGCTGGCATTTTTAGGTGGGACAATCTAACGGTCATTCAGGGCTCTGTACTTGGGTCAAGCTGAGTCTCTGAAGGACAACTCCTTGGCTACTGCCCGGGCCTCCTGGGCAGCACACTGTCTAATGAAGTCCAGCCTGAGAGCACTACAGCCGCACATGCTGGGTCAGGCTGGTGACGTCGCTGGGGTCCCACGTGGCTCTCTGTCCCCCATCAGTGCTCACACGGCACTTCCCTTGGGGTGTGAGGATCTGTGCACCTATTCCTGAGAGCCCTGGGCTAGTAGGCTCTCCCCCTCGTCTTGGGAGCTGGCATTTTGCCCAATGATGCACTAGGGGACCTGGGGGCCAGGCTTCTCCTCTGCTCCCTCCTCTAAATGTCCCTCTCTCTGTCCCACTATTCATCAGAGTATGTATATGCCACCTCCGATCCTTTTTGGAAAATGCTGGTATATAAGCAAAAAAATCCTCTAGCATTGCATCAAGGATCCTAGAATTGGTGTCCTGGGCTGTGCCCATCTGTGTCTGTGACACCCAGCAACATTCT